TACTTAGAGATACATTCAAGAAATGATTTGAATGGACTGCACACTAAAAACCATAAAACACGGTCAGAAAAAAAATTTAAAGAACTCAAAAAATGGAAGACACATTGCATTCATGGATCAGGCCAAGAGTTCAAGACCAGCCTGGGCAAGATGGTGAAACCCCAACTTTACAAAAAATTCAAAAAAAATTTCAAAAAATTCACTGGGCATGGTGGCACATACCTGTGGTCTCAACTACTCAGGAGGCTGAAGGTGGAGGATCCCTTGAGCCCAGGAGGTTCAGGCTGCAAGGTGCTATGATTATACCACTGCATGCTAGCCTAGGCAACAGAGTGAGACCCTGTCTCTAAAAGAAAAAAAATGAACCAAAGTTACTAAGGCTTTGCTTGTGTTGTTTTAATAAAGCTTCTGGGTAGCACATCTCAGAAGCCAATTTCTGTCAGGCTTATTGCAGGGGGTCAATGAATAACAGTTATTAAGGTTTCAGCTTGTCACTCCCCAAACTGGAGGATGCCAGAAAGATATTACCGTTGACTGGGAGTCCTAGGTAACTGTTTTCTCTGGCAAATCTGTGATTTGCTATAACACAGTAGAGATGACATGTTTAATTGTAATCAATATAGCAACATTATTATTTGAGCAATGCACTAGGTTGCTGGTCGTCACACTATCAAGACCAGGAAGACAATATTCCATAACAATGGGTCTCAGAGTTTAGCATGAATAGGAAGACCCCAGTGGGCTTAAAGTTAAAGCATGAGTTGCCAGGCCCCAGCCCCAGAGCTTCCGATCTGGTAAAGCAGGGCTGTCCCTGTGAGAATTTCCCAAGATGCCAATCGTGCTGGGCCAGGGTCACACTTTGAAAACCGCTGAATGACATCATCGCTACATTGCTATAAGTGATTACACTGAAGCATCATAAACCATCATCACACAATATGTTTCTAATCTACAGTCTCTCTATAATAAAAACAATTTGAAAATTTTCTGAACACCTACATTTTCAACAAGAACTTTATTTTTAACCCAGGAAAATGTCTACCCAGCCCTAAGCTTCTCATAAGATGATAATAAAATGTTGTCTCAGAAGACAATAACAAAAAGTTGTAATCACATATCTTCAATCAGTATTCCAAAGTAACAGAGACACTTCATTCACGGAATTAGGAGCTGGGCCACCTGGGTTGGACAAGGACGCAATTCTCAGTTTGTACAGCTGATCAGAGCCAGATCTCCTGATTCCTAGTACATCTCTCCCTCAGGCCTCAGTATTCATCTCCATAAAATGGGAGAGTTCACTTGTGCTCCCTCCAGATCTGAGAATTCTTCTATTCAGGGTTTACATATCTGGACTCAATTGGATGCAGAACATTGAGACAGGTAGTGCTATAAATGGTCTGCCCGGTAAGGCAGGAGTGTGGGTGAGCGAGTCGGCACTGGAGGGCACTGGGTGGAAATTTCATAGGGATGATTCAGATTGCAGACTGGACACGTCACTCCTCGCACACTGTGAACTTCTACAAGCCCCTGAATTACAGACCACATTCCTGGGACAAAGCCTAAAAGAAAGAAACAAACTTTAAAGAAATACAGGAAGGTATCTTTGTTACTATAATGATTATGGATATCTGTTGTAAAAACAATACTCACTGAGCCCATACATCTTACTTGCAGAAATCCAAAGCTATGTTTTCGAAGCTATTTCAGGGTTTCAGAAGATAAATAAATAAAAGGTCTCTCCACCTTCGGCAAAACTGTTCCAACTTGGATTAATCTGGAACTGAATGTCACATTGAATCCTGCCAAGGCTCGGCAGGGCCCCAGGCAGGAATGGTTTACATTCCATCCAGAAAAGCAGCTTTGGGTCCTGGAGAAACCAGTGGTTTCCATGCAGCCCTCACGGGGGTAGCTGAATGACAGTGTTCCCCTGGGTAGGCTCAGGTGGCACAAGGGAGATGAGGGTCACCCGGCTGGAGTCCTAAAAGCCCCACTCATCTCTCAGTCACTGTGGCTGCTAGAAATGGCAAAAGTTTGTGCAGCGAAATAAATCTACATGTATTCCCTGTGAAGCTGTGATTCCTAACACAACCCAAAGGTCAGAGCTGAGATTTAGTCCCTGTTCTTGGACTTAGTGGACATGACCTTCAACTTGAAGCCAGAAGAACTTAGTTTAAGACCAGGCTCTGTCCCCTTTGAGAGCTCTGTGATTTGAGCAAGTCAAATCGCCCCTCTGACTCTTCAGTTCATCATCAGTAAGTGAGGCTAGATTCTCATCCCTGTGTACCCCACAGGGGACACTTCGCTAAGAGTTATTAAGGTGCAGTTCCCCACATTGTGAATACTTACAGGTCATGCAGATCAAAGAAAACTTACACCCAACTTTGGATTTTATAGAGTATGTCACAAAACCATAAAGCACAATATGGCTTTATGTAAAGTACTCAGCACCCTTCCCCGCCCCACCGTCAGTGGAAGCCTGGTACTGAATTGTTAGTGGTGTTCAAAGACGCTAAGGAGACTTACCCTGTGCTAAGGTGTTACTTCAGGGGTCCAGGTGGAGAGCTACAAAAGGAAGTAGGGGGTAAGTTGTCATGAAAGAGGGCCTGCCAGAGCTTTAAGGGAGGCCAGAAGAGGGACTGTAGCCCATGAAAAGGTGAGGAGAAGGCAGTGCTGACTAGGACAGCGATGCACATGCGTAAGGATTTTTGGAAATCTTTTGCTATGTGTCACATTCCCAAAATGCCAGCCGGTCAAAGACTTAATTAAAGTCTTATGTTATCTTAAAACGCTTTTGGAGTGGAAATTATATTTCTCTTGATGCATCGCAGTGCTAACACTAGAATGTAAGGCTGAGGCTGACAGGCCTAGATAGCCTTGGGTTGCATGTGCTTAAATTAAGAGTCAGCACATTTTAGGATGAAGCTTAGGGTATACATACATGCACAGTAATGATCATGAAACAATTTCCAGCATCTCTACAGACTCCATCATTTTCGAAATGTTTTCTCATGTTAATGCAAGCCTAGTCTATGTGTTAAGCAAAGCATAGACTTTGCTCCCCTGCAGAACTGGACATTGAATGCAGAGGCCACTTTTCCTAAGCAGAGTAACCAAAAGAATTCCATGACCTGGCCGGGCGCAGTGGCTCATGCCTGTAATCCCAGCACTTTGGGAGGCCAAGGCAGATGAATCATGAGGTCAGGAGATCAAGACCATCCTGGCCAACATGGTGAAACTCTGTCTCTACTAAAAATACAAAAAAAAAAAAAATTAGCTGGGCATGGTGGCACACACCTGTAGTCCCGCTACTTGGGAGGCTGAGGCAAGAGAATTGCTTGAACCCAGGAGGCGGAGATCTCAGTGAGCCGAGATGGCGCCACTGCACTGCAGCTTGGGTGACAGTGCGAGCCTCTGTCTCAAAAAAAAAGAATTCCACGTCCAATTAGAGCAGGATAAGGAAAGCTGTGAGATGTTTCATTAATTAGAAAACAGAAAATGCTGGATCCTCCTGCCTACCTGAAGTAAGGATGAACTTTGACCTCAGAGCCTACACTATGGCAGTGTTTATGCAGTGACATAGTCCCATATAGACAAATAAATATGGTTGTCTTTATACACATATGTGTATATACACACACACACATATCATATATCTCACTTAGCTAGACACAGCCCTTTCTTGAGGGCAGAGAGTGGTCCTGTCTTACGAGTTAAGCTCTTTCAGTGTCCTGGGGTGACTGGTAAGTGTTGGTGGTGGAGAGACTGGCGGCGCTGAGGAGAATGGGCCCGTCTGTGTTCATAGACTGTCAGCAGGAAACAGAAGCCATCATAATATGGGTCACCCATCTTTGTGACTGAGTGAATGAGTTGGGGTGGGGGGCAGTTTTTGAGCGTTTATCACAGCTCTAAAGACAAGGCCTAGTCCACCTCTAGTCTAGGCTCCGCACCACGTTCTTGCCAGCACCTCCCTCCCCACTCCCCAGTGAATGAGGTTCTTCTCGTTACCCGAAGGCACTACTCTCCCTTCTCATACGCATGCACTTCTGACACGTCTACACACCAGCTCTGGGCCTCGATCCACCCATGGCAGCCCAGTTCATCTACAGGTCGCCCTTGTGTTTCTCACTGTGCCTGGCAAGGTCACCACAACAACACTCATGGCTGTAAAGGCAACGTAGTTACCACAGGAGGGGTGCATGAGGGTCCAGGAAGGAGGACACGGAAGCCAGAGGGCCAAGGCCTGACCTGACAGGGGAACCAGTATAAACAGCAACCTGTCCTGGCCAGTACAATACCTAGAAGATGCCCATTACGTGGCCAGCTCTGCTCACTCTCCTTACAGTAAGGGCACCATGAAACAAGAGTAAGAGAATCAGTAGGCAGAACTAACCCCACCCACACACCAAGCAGACCATGCTTGCAATGTGATGAATAAAAACACAGTGGCCTCCCAGGGCTACCAAGCCAAGTCACTGCTGCAGCACAGACCAGTAAAGCAACAACCTACCGGGTCTGGGGCCCCCTCAGCTTTCCAGGTCTGCTGAGGGGGCTGGTTCCTTTCACACCTCCTGCATCCCCCAGCCTGCTCCAGCAGCACAGTGTCCAAAAGCTCGGCGTCTATCAGTTCAATCCATGGTCCCCTTCTCAATGGAAAGACTTCTGCTCTCATTGCCCCCTCCAGCAGGGCTGGCTCCGGTCTCCAGGGCTCCAGCACCCTGCACTGAGCAAAAACTGCAGGAGAAATGCTCCTCATGAGCTTCCATGTATCCAGTCCAGATTCCTTTCTCCTTCAAGGGCAGGTGGGAAGTTTGCATTTCCCAGGCTCCTTCCAAAAGGAAGGAAAAGCTAGCAATTCTCATTCATCAAAGCAACAGTAAATCCGAGCAGACAGGACTTCACTCCTCTCTCACTGTGAGGTTCTGCAAGTCCCTGAATTATAGTCCAAATTCCTGGGAAGGAGCTTAAAAGGGAAAAACAAACTTTACAGAAATATAGAAAGGTGGTTTTGTTACTGTAATTCTTATGGATATCTGTTGTACAAATAATGCACACTGTGTTCATATATCTTACTTGCAGAAATCCAAAACTTCACCTAAGCCACACTGACAGTTGAATTATCATTTGTAAGAGACCAAATTATTTTATCAAAGTAACGGGATAACTTTCAAATGTGTATTTATTTGTGGGGATGGGCCAACAGCCAGAAAACACCTAAATGAGAATTCAGATTCATCTGAACTTGACATTTTCAGTTGATCTAATGGCTCATTCGTTCCATGGACTGAAGAGTCAGTCCACTGACTCTTCAATGGCTTCCAATTAAGAGACAAGCAGAGAATTCCTGGTCCTGTGGTTTGTGATCCAAGTGCCTTCCTAGATGGTTATGGGCTATCCAAGTGGCATACTGGAAAGTGGAGGCAGGCCTGGAAAGGAGATGAAAGACAGTGGGTAGAGTGACTGTAGTTAATAACAATGTATCCTTTCCTTCTTCCTTTCTTCCTTTCTTTCTTTGATGAGACAATGTCTCACCCTTCCTTCCAGGGTGGAGTGCAGTGGCGCAATCTCAACTCACTGCAACCTCTGCCTCCTGGGCCTAAGTGATTCTCCTGCCTCAGCCTCCCAAGTAGATAGGAACACAGGTGCCAGCCACACCATGCCCAGCTAATTTTTGTTAGTAGAGATGGGGTTTTGCCATGTTAGCCAGGCTGGTCTCAAACTCCTGACCTCAGGCGATCCGCCCACCTTGGCCTGCCAAAGTGATAGGATTACAGGTATGAACCACGGCGCCTGGTCTGTATATTTCAAAATAGCTGGAAGAGAGGACTTGAAATGTTCCTCACACAGAGAAACGATAAATGCTCCAGGTGATGGACACCCCAATACCCTGACCTGAACGTTACATGTTCCATGCATGTAACACAATTTCACGTGTACCTCATAGATATGTACAAATATGTATCAATTTTTTTAAATTCTAAATAATTTTGTTAAGAAGCGTGCTAGAAAGCCAAAGTTAGATACTGCACAGCAAAGTTTGAATTAAAGGCAGTGCTGGAAAACAGAACCCCCCCTTGTGGCCATGCCTCTCATCCAGGTCAGGTACCCATTCCTACAGTCGACACCTGGAAAGGCGCGCAACGTGGGACGGCAGCCTGGGGAGGGGAGGCCGCCGCGCTGCCCACCCAAAGGCAGAGATGTGGCGTTGAGGAGCCGCAGAGGGAAAGTCCCCGAGAGAGACGCAGCCGCGCTCTATGGCCGTGAAGCCCCGCGCTGGGGTTGGATCTGCCTCCCTTCGCGTTGCTGAGCCGCTGGAAGATCGGCATTCAGACAGACAGATACGCAGTTTGGAAGAAAGCGAAGTGCTTTGCAAGTGAAGGGGAGCGGAACGTGCCACCCCAAAATCTGCCACTTTGGCATAAGGATTAAGTGGCGCTGTCGGCAATGGAGAAGAAGCAGACACAAGAGAAACTCTCCGCCCTCCCCTATTTGCCGAAAAGCGGGACAGAATTTGTCAAGGTGTCCCCCCGCCGCCCTCTACGGAAGGATGGGGTTAATCACCAGACACAACCCGAGCCCCTCCTCAGCCTGCAGAGGGCACCAGAGGAACCTGCACAGCACGTCCTGGTCCCGCGGAAGCAGCGCTTTCCTTCCCGCAGCTCCCCGTAGGGTAGGGTGGCCTTCCCGCCCTCGCCTCCCCAGTAACTCAGGCCCTTCTCTATCTTGTCACTTCTCTAAACACGCATTCTCTTGTGAGGTGCTATGAACGCTCGAGCTCTGGCCGCCCCTTGGAGTTACTCACTGCGCACGTTCCCACGGGTGTGCGTGATGCACGTGGTAATAAACTCGTGTCTGGTTTTCTCTTGTTAATCTGCCTCTGTCAGTCTCTTTCAGAGCCCCAGCCAGAGAACCTAGAGGGCTAAAGGAAAAAGATTTTCTTCTCCCTAGACAAGCGAACGGACCTGTGCTCGAATCCCAGGCGTGCTGGGCGTTGGCTTGGTGCTGCTGATGTAGCCTCTTTCTCCCTGTGTCCGACTGCCTTCATCAGCAAGGCGAAGGCAGCCACACCGCGTGGAACAAGCCGGCTCTCCACAGGCTCAGCTGTTTGCATCCTCTCCCTGTAGCTCCCTCACCTCTGAGGCTGTCTTGGGGTGCTGCCGCCCTGTGGGCACCTGGGACGCTTCAGCCCATTCCTCGCACTCCTCATGCCAAGGGTGGCTCCAGGGGATCGTCCTTAGAGAATTTTTTCCCACACATTCCGAACCCCCAAACTCCCCATGCAAAGTTTCCAGGACTGCTCTGCCCAGCTCAAGGAACTTCCCCAGAACCACCACCCACCCAGGACCACCTCTCAGAACCACCTCCCACCCAGAACCACCTCCCACCCAGGACCACCTCCCACCCAGGACCACCTCTCTCCCAGGACCACCTCCCTCCCAGGACCACCACCCACCCAGGACCACCTCTCAGAACCACCTCCCACCCAGAACCACCTCCTACCCAGGACCACCTCCCACCCAGGACCACCGCCCACCCAGGACCAACTCTCACCCAGAACCACCTCCCACCCAGAACCACCTCCCTCCCAGGACCACCTCCCTCCCAGGACCACCGCCCACCCAGGACCACCTCCCACCCAAGACCACCTCCCACCCAGAACCACCTCCCACCCAGGACCACCTCCCTCCCAGGACCACCTCCCACCCAGGACCACCTCTCACCCAGGACCACCTCCCACCCAGGACCAACTCTCATAACCACCTCCCACCCAGGACCACCTCTCACCCAGGACCACCACCTCCCACCCAGGACCACCTCTCACCCAGGACCACCTCCCACCCAGAACCACCTCCCACCCAGGACCACCTCCCTCCCAGGACCACCTCCCACCCAGGACCACCTCTCACCCAGGACCACCTCCCACCCAGGACCAACTCTCAAAACCACCTCCCACCCAGGACCACCTCTCACCCAGAACCACCTCCCACCCAGGACCACCTCCCTCCCAGGACCACCTCCCACCCAGGACCACCTCTCACCCAGGACCACCTCCCACCCAGGACCACCTCTCACCCAGGACCACTTCCCACCCAGGACCACCTCCCTCCCAGGACCACCTCCCACCCAGGACCACCTCCTACCCTCCACTTCAGACTTTCTCATGCCTGCTGGGTTTCCTGGAGTCTATCCATGACCTCAAATCTAAAGTTTCCCCTTTTCTCCACTCTACTCCTTTCTTTCCTCCCTCCCTCTCTCTTTTCTTTACTTCTTTTTTTATTTATCTTACCTCCCCACCCCCAGCCTTCCCTCTCCCAATCTAACATTCACTCGTGAGCACGACCTTCCTAGCTCTGATTGCATCTTTCTCCCAAAGACCCTGCCCATCACCTGGTTCTCCTCTCAAATCCTTTGCCCTGGATCCTGGAAGGTCGTGCCCTGGGGCAGGCTCCACCTCCTTATCCCTGTACCCTGTTGTGCAGTTGGCAACTCTAGTGGGCACCTGGTGTGACACAGCGAAGTGGGAGAGATGGGTTCATCTTTTCCAGGGAGACCCTCACTGTCTGCCAGCTCCAGGCCTGGCTCGCCATCCCTCTGCAAATCCACTGGCAAACATACGTACTCCAGTGCACTTCCGTCACCTCACGTTACCAGAACAGGTTCCTAAGACTGTGAGTGAGAGAGGGCAAGGCACCCAGGGCCACGTGGAGCAGGGACGCCACAGTGGGGGGCCCATCCCAGATTGTTTCAGTGGTCACAGTAAGACGATCAGTGCCTGAGAAGTGGTAAGAGTGAAAAGAAGGGAAGGGTGAGAGCTGGGAGGAAGGCGAAGCCACTGAAAGGCAGGTGTGTGGATCAGCTCAGCAACGGGCCCTAGTCGGGGTGTTGGGTTAGTGGTGGGGGTCTAGCAAAGGGAAGAGCTGTTGATGGGGGAGATGGCAAGGTCCTTTTCAGGCAGGGAAGGACAGATATGCCTGTGGGACACCTGAGTGAGAACATCAGGAGGCAGGGGATGGTGTCGTTCTGGATATCACCTCACTGTACCCCAAAAATGGAAGACTTCGCAAGAATGCTAAGTGTCTAATGGGGAAAACAGGGACAAAGGTAGACAAGGAGTCAGGGTGAGGCGGGCAGAAAGCCTGGAGCTGGGATCTAAAGACCTGGCTTTTGCCGGGATCCCCACTTCCCCTGTGTCCTCAAAGCCAAGCCACGGACACTTGAGCATCTGCCTGCCTGTCTGCAGAAGGGGGAGAGCCCCTCCCTCATACCACCATCTGGGGGAACGAGGAACCGGGAGGCCTGACAGACCACAGGTTCTGAAGGCAAGGCAGGCCTTTGGATGGAAGGGGCAGTTTCAGACCAAGGTGGGGTCTTTATCCTTCAGACCAAGGATAAAGAGGAGGAAGCTGAGGGTTCAAGACATGGGGCATTGTCATATCATTTTACTCAGCGTAGCTACCTGGGACAGCCTTCTTTCTCTTCTTAATCACATAGGACAGCTTCACTGGACACTTGCTGTGGCTTCTAAGTCCTTGTGGACCTATTCCTTTCCTCTTCAGAAATTCAGACTTAAATCCCAGCTAAGGAACTTCTTGTGAGAGGCAGGTGTGCTCTGGGCCCTGGGACCCAGAAGGTCACAGGATGCGGCAAAGGCTCATGGATGGGCTGGGGATGTTTCCTTCTAAGGCTGGAGGGCTGAGACATGCCCTATCTGGGTGACCACGCAGCTCCCAGGCGCAAGTGTGGCCGGGGAAGTCTGCGGAAGACACAGAACATGCAACAAAACAGAGCATCCCCTGCTTCTTCAGCCAATAGAAAATAGCTCCATCATCAAAACCAAGATGAGCTACCCACGCTCCAGGTACACAGAGGCCAGATTGAACGCCATCAGCCCAGAATAATAGTGTTTGGTGTTCACCTCTTTTCAGAGCTCCACTGCAGGCCAGAGGAAGTGGAAGTATGTGATTCAGGGCCACCCTTCACATTCCCCACAAGGACAAAGGGGAAGTGGTCTTTGGTGATCAGGGACTGTCATAAACCAGAGCTGCCGACAAACACTGGAACACTGGCGCTGGAAAGGACCCCCGAATCCAGCTGTCGTCTGGACAGTGAGAGTACGCCCAGCCACCTGGATCCCATAGTGGACAGCACTTGCAATCAGAGCCCCCAGCTCACACTGCATATCCCCCTGGCTTCACCTCTGACCTTAAGCTCACTTCACTGACCCAGGCTCCATGCCCTTGTCCCTCAGGGCTGTGGCTGCCATCAAGCACTGACAGGTGCTGCCCTGTGGTCAGTGCTCAGTAACTTGCAGTTTTTTTATTTTCTTTTCCTAAGGCATCACTGCTCTCTTCCTTTCCTCTCTTTCTAGAGGCTAGGCTTCTCCACAACCTTGACCCAACACAGCAACAAGGGCCTGAGGGAGTGGGTTCTCTCCTCCCCTGCCTGTGGCCAGCTGGACATAGGCAATGACTTTACCTATCCAGGCTCAGCTTTCCACCTGCCAATGAATGGTGAAACAGACAATGCGAGCAGCTGCTGCTTTCAAAAAAATTTTGACTGATGGTCCTACACTGCATGGCTCTCTAGCAATAGATGTTCCCATTCCAGTGCGGTCTCAATACCCAGGAATTCCCCAGCTGCTTTCCTGGGCAGGTGACCCTGGGCAGCTCAGTGTCCTAGCCAAGACACCTTGTGACAAACGTGGCTTCAGACTCTAGCCTGCAGCAGACTCCAGCCTCGACAACTCAGTATGAGAGAGGAAGTCCTAGACATTCTGGGAAAACATCATTTCCGGAAAAATTCAGACTACCAAATGGTCTAAATAGCGATAATGGATATGCTTATTAAGTACAAATAATGAGAGACCAGAATTGTGATAGGGTCCCTCTCTTCCTATCATCAATATTTTTAAATGCACAATGCATCGTAAAATGCATAAAATGCCTCTAAGCAACACTCCACTGCCATTTAGTCTCTCTCTGATGTCGTTTACATGTCCATTAAAGGGTTCTTACCCGACTTCTCCACTCCACCTTCCTCTGCTCACACGGGTGGTTTATGCCTGCCTTCCTTGGCTCTGTGACATAGTCAGGAATGCAGCCTTTGTAAAAGTCTGTGCTCAGAAAACTGGTAAATTGCATCTTGCAAATCCTCGGAGACGCCTGCTCACACCCTAATTCTGCTGTTTTCACAGGAGCATGGCACATGCCCCCGGCCTCAGAGGAGGCGTTTCTCAGGACTCTTCTGTCCCAAGGCTGGCAGGTCCCGTCATTCAAAGGGCAGCTCAGGATTGTGTGACCACAGAAAACAACGGGCAGTGTGAGGGGTGCTAAGAGTGAGCCTATGTGGATTTCCTGACACCATTACATCTTTCCAACACCAATTCTCTGACACCAACTGGGTGCTCAATAATTCAATTCCATTCTGACACTGAATCCCTAGAGTTACTCAGCCCCCACAGGGTGAGGCGCCATCCCACAAGAGTGTCCCATTCAGATCCAATCGCAAATGCAATTCCCAGGACACCTGCACTTCTGCCTGGCTGATTACAAATTTGGGGGTGCCCACGACTCCCCCTTAGGTTTAACAATGCCCTAGAATGACTCACAGAATTCAGGAGGACACTCCTCATAATTGCAGTTGAATTCTAAAGACATAAATGAATGGAAGAGGGGCACAGGGTGGGCTGCAGGGAGAGTCGTTGCACAGAGTTCCCATGCCCTCTCTGGGTGCACCTATGCCTCCCTCAGTCCTGAAGCTCTGTTAGCCTCCTGTTTCTGAGACTTTACTGAAGTGTTACTATGTAGGCATAATGATGAAATCATCAGCAGTCGGTGACTGCACTTTATTCCAGATCCTGCTTCTTCCCAGAAGGTCAGCAGACAGGCTGCAAGTTCCCACCCTCCAATCCTGTGGCCGGTCCCTCTGGCCATCGGCTCCATCCTGAGGCTATCTCGGGGCCTGCCAGGTGTTGCCTCATTGGAATAAACTTGGGTATAGTCAAAGGGCTCATTATGAAAAACAAAAAAACACTCTTGTGGGTCAGGAAATTCTAAACGTTTTAGGAGCTCTCTCCCAGAACTAGGGGCAAAGACCAAATATCTATTTTTCATTTTGCCACACACACAGAGCCGTGTTCGCCTGGCTGA